ATGATCATAGGAAAGGAGTACAGGGGAGGGGAGCATGGTGGCCGGATGCTCTCAAAGACAAATGGTCACCTACCGTGATAGAACTTCTTGTAGCCTCCTGCTACGCTGCATTAGCTCACCTGGCAGCCTGTTTGAGTGGTGTTTGTTTTTCTTATTTTGCGTTTGTGACATCTTACTGAGTAGGTGGAGATTTTCCAAGATTGCCAGGCAGTCCAAGAACTTAGTTGTAAAGAGTAAGGAAGCAAGGGTGTGGAGTGGGAGGAGGGATGGAGAAAAGCCACCTGGCCTGCCAGAGACATTTGTCATCTTGTTTGACACTCATCACAGAGCCTAGGGGAAGCCTCTGTAAACTGTTCGACTGACATTTCTATATTTCGAAGCAGCTGGAACCTGCCTTACCTGTAAGATCACATCATCTTGCTAATGACCATAATTGCTGGGACCTTTGCCAGCCATGACCCAGCCTTGGTAATGGTGCTAAAAGCAGACCTGGAGCCAGGCAGTCTGTAGTGCATAAGGAGCCCTCCCAGGCACAGAGTGCACCAGGCAGCTGGAAGGCGGGCAGACGAGTCAGAGGTTTAGAGGTGTCTTCCTTTCAGCACTTTCTAGTTGGGGTCAGACAGAAACATTGCACATACTGAAGAAGTCTAGTTTGGGGGCTTACCTGGTGCTTCCAGAAAAAAAGGTTCACATCCTTGCAATATTACAGGGGAGAAAAAAAGCTTGGAAAATACAAGGAAACAAAACAAAACAAAGCCATGCTGACTGAGAATATTATATATATATATAATATAGCCCTGTTGGTAGGAAACTTCTAGCATTCTCAAAGCTCCAGGTCTGATCCCCAGGACCTCATAAAATAGGTGGTACATTCCTGTAATTCTAGAACTCAGGAAGTGGAGGTGATGGGAGGATCAGTTCAAGGTCATTCTCAGCTACACAGCGAGTTTGAGGCCAGCCTGGGCTACAGGAGACCTTGTCTCAAAAGAGCCCAGAAGAAGATGCATCGTTTCTGGGACGTGGATCTTTGTGCAGCAGTGGTAGCAGTGACACAGCGAGGTGCTCACCTGACAGATGTGAAACCAGATGGGCGAACACTCATTTATAATGGAATAAAAACATTTAAAGGATCAAAACTGCTCCTGCCTTGGTTGTGCCGTCCCCTGGGACACAGGAGGATCAGGAGTTCAAGGACATTCTCAGTTATGTAGCCAGTTCAAGGCTAGGCTGGCCTATAGGAGATGTTTCAAGAAACCAAAAAAGTAAAATAAAATAATAAAAACAAGACAGAAAGTGCTTGGGAGTAGATGTGGCTGGACAATGCCCAGCTTCACATTTTCAAAGACCACCAGTCCTGAACATGACAAGGCTGCCCAGTTACCACAATGCTATGGGTGAAACTCAACCCCAGTAACATTCCAGCAGAGGGTAGGTTGGTTACCATAGAGATCCCATCCATCGTCCTGGCTCTAGACTTGGCCTGGTGTTGTATATTTGGGCGTCCCTCAGGGCAAACAGCAATTGAACTAAGGGCTCATCTGCTGTTACCCATGGAGAATGAATGGGATGACAAGAGAAGGAAGTTATAAGGCTAAGGATAGGAGAGATAGGGGCAGGAAGAGGAACTGGAAAAAGCCCGAAACCTGCACTCTCGTCAGGCTAGTGAAGAGCCGGAAAGCATAGAGCGGTCTGTTTGGGGAAGTAGTCCTGTCCTCAATGGTGTGGAGATACAAGGAGAGAGTGGCAGTCCGTGTCCGGGACAGAATCCACAGGCCCTGTCTTGTGCCCGTGGCTGACTCACTGCTGCTGTGTCTCTCTGTCCTGAGGCAGGCTGGGAGTGGAGCAGGGAAGTTGGAATAACCTGCTGCATACAGACTGTCTGCTTTCGGATAACTGATTCACTTCCGGGTCAATGCTGCTTCTCTCCAGTACAAACAGGCTTCTCAGAACTTCTCTTGCCCTCTTCCCCCAGCTGAGTCACCTCAGGTTTGGTCTGATACCCTGAGGGTGCGGGCTCACAAGTAAACCCTTGAAATACCTGGCATCTATATTTCCTCCTGGCATCTACATTTCCTGTAACAATAATTCACTAAGCGTTAAATGTTTTTTTTTTTGGGGGGGGGATGGCGACAGTAAGTGGGCTCAGCAGGTAAAAACACCTTGCAAGCCTGATGACCTGAATTCTGTTCTCAGAACTCACATAAAGGTGGAAGGAGAGAACTAACGCCCACAGTTTATACTCTCACCTCTGTGTGTGCACTGTCGTGTTCATATGCTTGCACTTTGTGGGCACACAAACACACAACAAATAATTTTCTTTTGGATTTGTTACAGTTATTCTCAGCATACAAAATACTACAAATACATTTATTATAAATCTTAGTATAGAAATACATCTCTGCACAAGATCAGTGGAACATTAAAGGTTAATAATATTCCATCTACTTGTATGTCCACGGGTGACGTTTTCTTGCTAGGGTTCAGCATCAATTCTCATTTTATGTTCTTTCTTTTTATGATAAGCAATGAGAAAAAAAAAACTTTAAATAAGGAAACAGGAATGGAAGTTTCGTTGTATAAATGCCATTCGATTGATGATGTGCCAAAACCAAAACAAAACCCTGAAAACCTCACCCAGTGGCAGAATGCTTTTGATGATTATCACCTTTATTTGACTGGTTCCTAGAGAGGTTCTCAGTGTCTGCTCCAACACTGAGCTGTCCTTAATTAGGCACCCAGAGACTTCTGTCCTACCAAGGGAAGCCGGTGAGCTGCAGGGATGTGGAATAAGGCATGGAAAAGAAAACCACCCACTGAGCTCTTCTCACCCGGCTCCTTCACAGGCAAGTCACATTTAGGAAAGACAACACCTGTGAACTATGTGGGAGTCCTCCAGAGCTCAGTGGGGGTCTCTTCGGAAAGTCTTGGTGCCCTTACAAGCATAGATTACAGCTGCACCTGGCTTTTACTCCATCCTCCTTGGTCCTTCTTCATGGTATTACAGGGCCCACTTCTAGAAGCTTGAAGATAAAATCTGGGATTCGACAGGACTGTCCAATGTCATTTACTGGCCTATCTACTACCTCCCACCTTCAGGGGTTCAACCTCTTCCTAGACTTCAGGGCCATAAATACACTCATGGTTTCCTATGTTCAGCCAAATCTCTGCCATGCACCTGCCCCACTGCGCTGCTTCCCTGGAATACATCTCAAACTCTGCAAGATCCTCTCCTCTTTACCTGGCATCTATCTATTTCCAATAGAAAAGGAGGTAGTTTATTAAAAAAACAAAGCCCAAAACAACAACAACAACAGAGTTTGGAAATATGCCACAGGCGAACCGACCCAGGTTAGACCATTCTTTTCTAAAGTATAGAAAAGAATGTGTATATGTGTATAGAAAAGTATAGTGCCTTGCCTCAAGCCCCACTGTCCGCAGGCTGAGGTTCAAATGAGTGTGGCTGAAT